CCAGCCATCTGCGCATCCCCAAAAGTCGCTCCCGCGTATTCGAGTTGGGTCTCCTCTCCAAGACCCACGCTCCGGGTTCAGGGTTTAGCCGGGTGTAGGGCCACACGTCCATGGTCACTGCAGCTGCTCCCTACAGTAAGTAACCTTCCGTTAGCGTGCCATTTGACTCCCTTTCGTAACCCTAGTCTCCTTAGACATTTTCCCTGTTGTCACATATTCTACAGTCACAGCCCCTTCCCTCCCATCCCCTTCTTCCTTCCCTTTCTTCTCCCTCTCTACTTTCTTCCTCCTCTTCCCTGGTTTCCCTCCAATCCCCCTTCCTAAGGTAAGATTTTTAGACCGCCTACTATTCTATGCTGTAGCTCTTGCGACGACAGCGACGGTTCGATCTAGGATTCTAGATTTGAGGTCTTCGAGGTGCGGTTAGACTCTAAAGCAGTATATAAGTTTTCGTCGCCTACGCGTGGTTAGTATTTTTAGGGTTTGGTCGAGTTGTGGGTTTTTTTTTCTTTAGTGAATTAGCAGCCTAGTCTGGCTCCATCTCCTGCCTTATCTCCTCCAACGTCTTTCTTTGATACCGGGGGCATAAGGATTGCCGTTTTTATATCATGTTAATCTGGTCGTGTTACGTTGGTTGTTTTTATCGTGTTGTGCGTCGTCGTAACGGTTTTCTCTCCGGTGCGTGCAGGTAAGAAGCGGTGCTGAGCGGTGAGCCAAGATGCAGATCTTCGTGAAGACCCTGACGGGCAAGACCATCACGCTCGAGGTGGAGAGCAGCGACACCATCGACAATGTCAAGGCCAAGATCCAGGACAAGGAGGGTGAGTCGCGGAATGTTTGACAGTAACGCTTTAGTAGATGTATATATACTGACCTTACTGCCAGCTCACCAGCGACACCATCGACAATGTCAAGGCTAAGATCCAGGTAAACGAGGTTGAGTCGGGACGTCGCCTATACTATTCTCAGCACAACTGGTTTATTCTAAACGGATCTTCACAGATCCGCTGTAATGGGCCCTTGTTATATCCCTGGCTCGTCTCGCGTCAGAACGTCGCTGAAGAGTCGCGTGCTGACGCGTGGCTAGAGGTTACCTGCCTAGCCGAATTTTGCTAGTCGTCGAGTATGGTGACGATATCGGACAACCGCATATTCTTGTGATCTGCTAGGTTTCTGTAGACGACAGATCGCGTTCCAAGGCGCCTCGAACCTGGAGACGGCTGGTCGCTTTTTGAGCTGCCCTTTTTTTAGCTGCCTAGAGGCCCGAGACTGCAGGTTCGGTTGTGTCCGTTTATTGGCACTTGGGCTGCGGGTATACAGAAGTTGCTGTCTCGGCATGCTCTAGGCACGCTGCTCGGCCTTTCCCCTGAGCGAAAGTTCTCGACAGCGACGCGTCGGCCCGTCGTCCTGGGAGTCAAAGCAAAGAACAGACGGGCCGAGCAAACTGCTAGAGTAGGGGCTTTGAGGGAAGGTCTCCATTCTACTCCATTGGAATGGAGCACTTTGAGGGGGGAGCCTCCATTGGAATGTATAATTCGTGGTAGCTGGAAGCTCTACAATCGACCGTGACGCGTTTTCTTTCCCCCCGTTTAGCTCACGTCCGACTGGAGGTTGCTCTTCCGTCGGTGAAGTTCCCAGCTTCGCTACTAGCCTTATGGAGGTTGTCCCGGCCTAGCTACTCCACGTAGTTAACGTACGCCCTTGCTCAGCTACCTCAATTCGACCTCCGTGATGGAGCGTGTCTCATTTCGACCTCCGCTTCCCTTAGCGCCCGCGCCCGCGCCCGCGTCCGCTCACCTTCCCTTTTTCTTCCTCGCTTCCCCCCTCTCTCCCCTGCCTCCTCCCCCATTTATGATTTTTGAGTCCGCTCCGCTCAAAAAGCGCCCGCGTCCGTCCGCTCACCGTTCCTTTTTCTTCCCCCCTCGCTTCCCCCCGCTCTCCCCTGCCTCCTCCCCCATTTACCCGCCTTTAAATGCACACATTATTCTATTCGCTGCAGGCATCCCCCCCGACCAGCAGCGGCTGATTTTCGCCGGCAAGCAGCTCGAGGACGGCCGCACGCTGGCTGACTACAACATCCAGAAGGGTAGGTGTGGTTGGTGATCTCTCTCTATCGCCGTCTCTGCCTCTATCTCTATCTCTATCTCTATCTCGATCTCATTTTCCCTTTGTTTTTCCCTCGATTGAGAGGGAGGCTAGCGCGTCGTTCCCACTCGCGAGAGGAAAACGAGGGGAAGAACGAGGGGACTTGGATGGGGATGGGGATGGGAATGACTTTTGAGGCGCCTCAAAAGAGGGGACTTGGATGGGGATGGGAATGGAGATGGGGAGTGTTTCGCTCTCCCCTCCTTCCCCTCGTCTTCACTCTTCTCAAATTTCCGTTGGCCTTGAGATTTGTTCTCTTAGCATTCCCTGTGATGTCTTCTTTCCTCTCCATCTCTTTTCTCCCCTCTCCTCCTCCCGCCCCCCGGTTCTTACCTCCCCTCTCCTCCCCCCCCCCCCCCCTCCTCCCCCCTCTCCCCCCCGTTCTTTCCTTCCCTCTCCGCTTTCCCACCTCTTTTCGATTTTCACCAAGGTTGAGTCGACTCAAAAGTCACCTCCTGTACCCGCGCTCGATTTCACTGCCCCCGTGGTGCATGCATGCTCCCGTTCCTCCCACCCCCATCCCACCCCCATCCCAACCCCATCCCACCCGCACCAAACGCACCCACACTTCCACGCACCTCCACCTACCCCGCCCACACTTACACGCACTCCCTACCATGCGATACCAGAGTGTTCCATGTATGTGATGGTGTCTCAGGTGCTCATGTGTGTGCGTGCGGAGGAGTCTATTTTTGAGGCGCCTCAAGAATAGTCTCTCCTCTCCCCTTCCGCCCCCCCCTCTCGCCCCCCTCCCTCCCCCAACCCTCCACCGCCCCTCCCACCCTTTCCCCCTCATACCAGAGTCGACGCTGCACTTGGTGCTGCGGCTGCGAGGAGGAATCATCGAGCCCTCGCTCATGGCGCTTGCTCGCAAGTACAACGCCGAGAAGATGATCTGCCGCAAGTAAGCTCTCTGCTGGTGGCTTAAACATGTACAGAAGCTTCTGCAACAGCCGAGTTACTCTCATTAGGGTTTGCATTGTTTTTGCTCGCTTGCGTCCTTTAAGCCTCTCCCGTATCTGTTTCCCTGGACCTATTGGTGTCTGCCTCTCAGGTGCTATGCTCGCCTGCACCCGCGCGCTGTGAACTGCAGGAAGAAGAAGTGCGGCCACACCAACCAGGTAGGCAGGCTGTAGCAGGTAGGCAGGCTGGCAGGCTGTAGTTATGGCAGTGTCGCAGCAGCAACCAGGTGGGCTACACTCGCCTGCACCCACGTGCTGTGAACTGCAGGAAGAAGAGGTTCGGCCACACCATCCAGGTAGGGAGGCCGTAGCGACCAGGTGTGCTGGCTGTCAGAATGGCATAGTATGGCTGTAGCAGCCAGGTTAGCTGTGCTCGCCTGCACCCGCGCGCTATTAACTGGAGGAAGAAGTGCGGCCACACCAACCAGGTAGGCTGAAACTGCGACCAGGTAGACCAGATGGGCATTGCGTGGGCCGTGCCGTAGCATCCAACTGTGCAGGCTGAAAGCATTCAGATGGGGGGCAGAAGTATAACTAGACAGGCTCTTTCTGGCAGCCGTCCTGCTGATAAGAGGTCAATAAGTGGATCTGCTGTAGCAGCACTTGAGTCGACTCAAAATACAGCTGGGATGTATTTGAGTTGACTCTAAATACACCTGGACAGGCTCTTTCTGGCAGCCGTCATGCTGGTAGGGGGTAAATTAGGGATCATCTGTAAGTAGCAGCCTGAGTGGACTCAAAATACAGCTAGCTTCATTTGTTTTTCTAGTCAAACTGCTTGTCATGCTTTTCCACATCTTTCCTCCCCTTGTTTCCCCTTGTCCCTTCCCTATCATAATCCTCTGCAGCTGCGGCCCAAGAAGAAGATCAAGTAGACACCTGTTGAAATATACTGCAGGGGTTTCTTTTGTAACTTGTATCTTGAAAGGGCAGTCCATAGCCAGTCTTGGCCGAGTGGGCAATTTGTCAGCTGGTGCTAGCTGCTGCTTTGCTGGTCTGACTGGTGTCAGCTAATGAATGAGATGCACGTGTAATGCGTTGTGCGAATGGTGAAGCATGCATTTGAATTTTGCCAGTAACAAGTTGCAGTCCAGGGCCCGGAATTTACCAGTAAACGGCTCTGCTCTGTTCATACATGCTTACTTGTACCACAAACACAATAGCGGCCACATTGCACATGACACTACGAACTAGTGGACTGACCCAGATGGGAGATTTGGCCAGAGCATTAGAAGCGAGAGAAGAGTAGCATCTAGGAACGAAAACGTAAATATCCTATGGTATGTTTCTAAAGAAAATGAGTTGATAGCTAGGTAAGGTGATTAGGGGAGATAAGAGTTGTAAATGGTGAATAAAATGAGGGACCATACAAATATTAATACGCTATATAGAAAGGAGTGCAGCTCGTATCGATCCCAAACAAGACAGTTCTGTTCGCTACAGAAGAGACCACCACACCAAGCCACGTCAGAAGTCCTCCAAGACACGCATTGTGGTGGTGATGACCATGCTGCATCGCTTGCTGTTGGACGCTCGGATGAGAGAGTTTCGTAACGCTGACGCGGAATGCATAAATGTTTCGTGTCTAGTCCGTTTGCAGCGCTTTCGCAGGCTTCTTCGCGATTTGTCCACCACAAATGTGTGAGTGCGCGTCATCGCCGTGATGTGCCTACGACAATTCGCGAAAATAGGTCAGGTTCGTCAACACTCTGAGTGCCACAAAAATACTCGTTGGCAAGAGTGGTGCCTTTCGTGTGAGGTGTTTTTGTAACGGTAACAAACGTCAAAAGCATTCATGCATGCGCTGTATCTCCAGCGCCACTTCAGAGGAGACTAGATGTGATGTGGAGTGGGGACCACTCCAGCGAGGTGCATAGATTCCTGCTAGGTGGTGGAAACCTGACCAGCTCAGGGAAACCCGCTTTCCAGCGTGGGAAAAGGCTGTAGGATAAGCTTTGCTCCTACAGGTTGTAGGCTGCAGGCTCCTGGGAAAAGCCCGTAGGAAAGCAGCTCCCGTTTACGGTAGCAGGAGGCGTCGTTTTACAGTAGTCTGGAGCCTGGCTGGCTGCTGTCCCGTCCCGTCAGACGCGACGCCGGGTTTCCTCTGCCGTGCAACGACGGTGGAGAGAGACGACGCCTTCCGGCTGATGACTGGTTGGGGTCAAGAGGAATTCGGAATCAGGAATCCGTCTCTTCTTCTGTCACTGAAGTTTCTCGCTCTGGTTCTAGCAGAGAGGGGAAACCTTAGTCCTGCCGTCAGCATAGGCGGAATTCCACGAGGCGGAATTCTAAGAGGCGGAATTCCAGGAGCCTAGCCTCGGTGTAGACCAGCTGACGTGGACTGCTGCTCCTCCATTGCTGCTCCATTAGCTCACGGTCGAGTCACGGTGACCGCCTAGGACAACGGCCCGGCTGACGGCTAAACGGCTAAATCGGTGTCTGACTAAGTGGCGCGGCTAAGACTGTCTAGCTTTCAGGAGTCGCCGCGAGAAACGCCAGAAGAGAGCGTCTCGCTTCGCGCCATAGTGCGGCATTGCTCGTCGCATTGACCGTCGCATTGATCGTTGCATTGCTCGTCGCATTCTTCGTCGCATTCTTCGTCGTACTTTGAAGGGCGATCCTAGCACTACTAGTGGCAAGAAATGGCGTCCGACGGCGCGGAGGATTCGTTCCTCCTGGAGCTGCCAGAGCGGCTTGCCATCCTGCCGTACCGCAACCGCGTGCTGCTGCCGGGAGCTATCGTCCGCATAACGTGCTCGGACCCCAGCAGGTAGGTAGCACCGAGCGACCTGATAGGGAATAGGCTGTTGGCCCAGCCCGCTACCGACTGGGTTAAAAGGGCCTGCGGTTGTGGTGGGTAGCGCACCCATTACCTCCCCGGACCAGGACGGACCTGTAGCCCTCCCACACTCAATTGCGGGACGGTCATAGTGCCCCACCAGCATAGGCAGTGTCTCCTGAACGGAGGATACGTTGTTTCCGGAGCGGCTGGAGCGGCTGACCATCCTGCCATACCGGAAGAGGGTGCTGCAGCCGGCCGCTATCGTCCGCATCACGTGCTCCGACTTCCTGTCGTTTGCAACTTCTAAATGGAAAACACGTTTCTCATGCTCCCATTTTGCCTCCACGTGGCAGCGTGCGGTTGGTGGAGCAGGAGCTCTGGCAGAAGGACAAGCCCGCTCTGATCGGAATCGTACCCGTTATAGAGCCTCCCGGCTCGTCCGACGCCACTGCTACTGGCAGTTTCGGATTAGCTAAAACCGAGGATACTGCTAAAGGAAATTCTGGTGCTGAATCCGGTGCTACTGGTGGCAATGGCAAGCCGGGAGGACCAGCAGGGCCTGGAATCACGGAGGGGAGGATGGAAGGGGAAGTAGGAACAGGAGGAGAGAAGGAAGGGGCAGGAGGGAGAGAAGGGAAGGGAGCGGCAGCAGGGAGGGCAGTGCGGGTGTGGGGCCCCAGTGGGCCAGAGGAGGTGAGAGGACCGATGGGGAAACTGCTGCTGGAAGACGTCAACTGGCATCCCAGGGGCGTGGCTGCTCGTGCTCTGCACGTGGCCAAGGGCGTGGAGCGACCCACTGGCCGAGTGACCTACGCAGTGGTGCTGCAGGTGAGTTGATCTTACTGATGTAGGTAGCTCCGTGTCAACTGCAGGGTCAAAGAGAGGAAGGAAGGAGGGAAGGGCGCGGAAGGGAGGGCAGTGCAGAGTGGGCCGGAGGAGGTGAAGTGGCCGACGGCGAGGCTGCTGCGGGAGGACGTCAACTGGCACCCCAGGGGTGTGGCTGCTCGTGCTCTGCACGTGGCCAAGGGCGTGGAGCGGCCCACTGGCCGAGTGACCTGTGCCGTGGTGCTGCATGCAGGGTGACGTGGGTGGGTGGGTTTCTGGTGCTTACGGTACTGCTGTGGGGATGCCACTACGGGATTGTCATGGTGGGTTTATGCTGCTGCGCGTGGCCAAGGGCGTGGAGCGGCCCACTGGCCGAGTGACCTGTGCCGTGGTGCTGCACGTAGGGTGATGCCATAAGTGTTGAAGGTAGGGCTAGTCTGATCTGAAGGTTGCAGGCTTGATTGTCTAGAGGGTGCACGGCTATACCATGTCGCCCGTCTCTTGCCGCCGAAGGTCAATCCATGTGCTTATGCTTCCTACCCCTTGTGCCCCTTCCCCGCCTCACTTCTCCCCCAGGGCGTGTGTCGCTTCGCCATCCAGTCCATCAACTCCCGAGGGCCATACCATGTGGCCCGGGTCTCACAGCTGGATGCGACGCCACAGGGTGAGCGAGTGGATGACACGTGCATGTGCATATGCGGCCGTGAGTGCATGTGTGGATGTGAGTGCATGTGTGGATATGAGTGCATGTGTGAGTACGTGCGAGAAGCTGTCCTCCCGAGGGCCATGCCATGTCGCCCGGGTCTCACAGCTGGATGCCACGCCACAGGGTGAGGGATTGAGACGTCTCTGTGTGCGTGCTTTTGTTCGTGTGTGTGTTTGTGCGTGTGCGTGTGCGTCTGCGTGTGTGACTGTGTGTGTGTGTGTTCGCGTGCGTGCGTGCGTGCGTGTGTGCGTGTGTGTGTGCGTGTGTGTGTGCGTGTGTGTGTGCGTGTGTGCGCGTGCATGCGTGCGTGTGTGTGTGCGTGTGTGTGTGTGCGTGTGTGGGCGTGCGTGCGTGCGTGCGTGCGTGCGTTCGTGAGCGTGTGCATGTGGGCGTGCGAGTTCGTGTGTGTGAGCGTGTGCATGTGGGCGTGCGAGTTCGTGTGTGTGAGCGTGTGCATGCGCCGTTCCCCCTGCTTCACCCCCGCTCTCCTCCCCCCACCCCCTCTCCCCACGTCCTCCCGCCCATCCCTCAGAAGCGGATCGCATACGAGGGGATGATGAGGTGCGCCACATTCTCTGCACCCGCGCTCCCCCCTCACCCTCCCCCCTCACCCTCCCCCCTCACCCTCTCCCCCATCCCTCAGAAGCGGATCGCATACGAGGGGATGATGAGGTGCGGCGGCTGGGAAAGCAGCTGCTGCGCGTGGTGGAGGAACTGGCACGGGTGATGGAGCAGGTGAGAGGGGAGAAGAGGATGTCATTGTGAGGGAGTAGACTGTAGACTTCAGTGCGAATGAGCTCTGAGGCTTTAAAGCAGCTGCTGCGCAGGTGCTGCTTTCATTCAAGTGGGTGAAAGAACTGGCACGGGTGATGGAGCAGGTGAGATGGGCGGGGCAGATGAGAAAGGAGGGGCGGGTGAGAGGGGAGGGTCGGGTGGGAGGGGAGGGAATCTGATCAAATCCCAGGAGTTGTCCAAATCAAAGGAGGGGCGGGTGGGAGGGGAGGGACTTTGATTTGGAGATTTGCCGGGATTCGAAGCAGCTGCTGCGACTGGTGGAGGAGCAAGCGAGGGTGATGGAGCAGGTGAGAGGGCGGAGCAGGTGAGAGGGGAGAGCAGGTGAGAGGGGGGAGCAGGTGAGAGGGGAGAGCAGGTGAGAGGGGGGAGCAGGTGAGAGGAGAGGAGCAGGCGAGAGGGAGGAAGAGGGAGTGATGGTGTCACTGGGAGCAGTGCAGTGATTGGGGGACGTGCTCACAGCGAACCTGGAAGACGGGTTGGGAGGTTGCTTTTGGAATGCTGCCCCTTTCTGTTTCACCTTCTCCCTGCACAACGACTCCAACAACCTTCAGGAATTTTTTGAGAATTCTCAAAAATCGCTTGCTTTTGGAATGCTGCCCCTCTCTGTTTCACCTTCTCCCTGAGCAGCAACGACTCCAACGACCCTCAGGAAAACCAGCAGCAGGTGTCAGGCCTGTTTTGAGGCGCCTCAAAACTAGACTCCTATCACGCGGATTTTGAGGCGCCTCAAAATCAGCTTCTCCCTGAGCAGCAACGACTCCAACGACCCTCAGGAAAACCAGCAGCAGGTGTCAGTCAGGCCTGCGCAGGGTTGCACCAGGCGTGCAGGGAGTCTGTGGCTATGATCGTGGCGAGTATAAAGGGGGTTTGCACGCTGCTTCTTGAGATGCTCTTCTCTCCTTTCTCTGTCGGAATCTTCTCCTGTTCCCCCTTTCCCCCCCTCAGGAGAACCAGCAGCAGGTGTCAGTCAGGGCTGCGCAGGGTGGCGTCGGGCGTGCAGGGATTGAGCCCTTAAGATAAACCCCTTTCTTAACACCGGTCTTCTTCCTCGCAATTACCAGGAGAACCAGCGGCAGGTGTCGGGGCTGCGCACGGTGCAGAGATTGAGTCCTTAAGATAATACCCTTTCTTAACCCCTGTCTTCTTCATCGCAATTACCAGGAGAACCAGCGGCAGGTGTCAGGGCTGCGCAGGGTGGCATCCGGCGTGCAGGGATCAGCGGGAGCAGTTCAGCGCCTGGCGGACGTGCTGGTGGCGAGTGTGGAGGGCGGGCTGGGAGCGCGCCTGGCGATGCTGGACGCGGTGGATGCGAGGAGACGGCTGCAGCTGGCCGCTGCTGTCATTGCCCTGCACCTGGAGGTCAGAAGTGTAGCCATTGGCTGTATGTATGTGCAAATGGGGAGTACTTGTGTGTCAGGAGTATAGCCACTCTCCTGGATGGCGGGCTGGGAGCACGCCTGGCGATGCTGGATGCGGTGGATTGGGGGAGACGAGACGGCTGCAGCTGGCCGCTGCTGTCATTGCCCTGCACCTGGAGGTCAGTGGAACACCCAAGTGAGATAGCACCCTTTCTCGGACGGCTTGGACGTCTCCCTTCGGCGCCCTCATCTGGTCCTCCTTTTTTATTACCACTTCTCCCTCTTCTCCTCCCTCCCCTGCAGAAGCTCCGTGTGGTGCAGCAAGGCGGCAGTGGCAGCAAGAAGAAGCCCTCCCCAGCCAAACCCTCCTCCTCCAAACCGCCCTTGCTACAGCTAGGCCCCCCTCCATCCCCCTCCTCCTCTGCTTCTGCTGGGGGGAAGGGGGGTGGTGAGGGTGAGGGGAAGGACCGTGGGGAAGCAGAGGATGGGGAGGAGGGGGAAGAGGAGGAGGAGGACGATGACGATGACGATGACGTGGCAGTGCTTGAGAGGCGCATGAAGGAAGTCAAGATGCCGCCCAACGTGTGGCGCCACGTGCGGCGCGAGCTCAAGTGAGTTGACGTTTGGGGGACATGTGGAGCGAACGAGTGCTCAGTAACGCAGGTAGGTAAGTCAGAGGGAGTGGCTCAACTTCATTATGCAGGTACTGTTCAACTTCAACTAAAACTTCACAGCAGCAGGCTTCCAACGTGCTGGCCCTCACTTCACACCACGTCATGTGATGGCAAACGGCTATACCATCATCAGATAACGAAGGAGGTCAAGCTGCTGGCCTGGCCAATGCGATATCTGGTGATGGTACATGCATGCATGGCGGCATGTGCCACGCAAACTCAAGTATGAACGGTTGTGGTGGGGCGACTTTTGAGTCGACTCAAAGGCAACTTTTGAGTCGACTCAAAAGCAGTATGAACGGTTGTGATGGGGCGATTAAGCTCAGGTACGCTGGGGAGACAGCAATCATGTCACCAGATGCTTAACCAAGAAACCATGCCCCTCATCTCCCTCTCCCTATTCTCCTTATAGGCGTCTTCGCAAGATGCAGCCACAGCAGCCGGACTACAGCACAACCTGCCAGTACCTAAAGCTTTTGAGCGACCAGCCTTGAAGTTTCTCCTGCTTATACTCTCTCTGACTTCTCCTCCTCCCTTATTCCCTCATCCCCCTTATTATAGACGTCTCCGCATAATGCAGCCCCAGCAGCCGGGCTAGAGCACAACCCGCCAGTATCTGGAGCTCCTCAGCGACCTCCCCTGGGGCATCCTTGCTCGTACTCCCTCTGAATTTCCCCCCTCCCCTTCTCTCTCGTCCCCTTTATAGGCGTCTTCACAAGATGCAGCCCCAGCAGCCGGGCTACAGCACAACCCGCCAGTACCTGGAGCTCCTCAGCGACCTCCCCTGGGGAATCTCGTCCCCCGTTGGGGGTCCCGGTGGTGCTGCCGCTGGCAGCAGTGCGTTGATAGACGTGGCAGCAGCGAAGGACCAGCTGGACCGGGAGCACTTTGGGCTGGAGCGAGTCAAGCAGAGGATTCTGGAGTACATTGCGGTCAGGAAGGTAAGAAGATGTGTGTCTCTAATGGTTCCATGGGGCATCGCTTTCCCTGCTGCCGCTGCTGGTGCTGGCAGTGGCAGTGCGTTGATAGTCGTGGCATGGAGGGGAGGAGCAGCTGGACCGGGAGCACTTTGGGCTGGAGCGAGTCAAGCAGAGGATTCTGGAGTACATTGCGGTCAGGAAGGTAAGAAGCGACGTGTCTCTAATGGTTCCTTGGGGCATCTCTTCCCCTGCTGCCGCGGGTAGTGCTGCTCCTAGGCTGCTGGTGCTGGTCCTGGTGGCGGCAGAGCGTTGATAGATGTGGCAGCTGCGAAGGAGCAGCTCGACAGGGAGCGAGCACTTTGGGCTGGAGAGGGTGAAGCAGAGGATCCTGGAGTACATTGCTGCCAGGAAGATGAGGGATGTGTGTGTCTGTTTGTCCCTGGGGGGGCACCACCTCCCCTGTTTTCTGGTGCTGGTGCTGCTGCTGGTGGCGGCAGCGAAGGAGCAGCTCAACAGGGAGCACTTTGGGCTGGAGAGGGTGAAGTGAAGCAGAGGATCCTTGAATGTTTCGCTGTCAGGAAGGTGAGAAATGCTGGCGGTGCTGGTGCTATTGGTGCTGCTGGTGGTGCGTCTGGTGCTCCTGGTGCTGGCGGCAGTGCGTTGATAGACGTGGCGGCAGCGAAGGGGAGCACTTTGGGCTGGAGAGGGTCAAGCAGAGGATCCTTGAATACATCGCAGTCAGGAAGGTGAGGGGATGTGTGTTTGTGTGTGTCTGTTGGTACCATTGGCCACCTCTTCTTCCCCTGCTGCGAAGGAGGGGAAGGGGCAGCTCGACAGGGAGCACTTTAGGCTGGAGAGAGTCAAGCAGAGGATTCTTGTCACATGGCAGTCATGATGGTGAATGTGTGCGCGTGACGAAGAGGAATTCGCAGGGATGTGTTTTGTTGAATCGTTCTCTTATGTCAATCCCATTCGTACCCACGACTTTGTGCGTATAGCCACATCCTGTGCCAAACCCCCAGTGCGTCAACCCCCCTTGGGAGGGACGCAAGTTTGGGTGCATAGGCCCCTCGCATGTCGACCCCCCCTCGTGTCACCCCCCCTGGTGCCAAACCTCCTTGCGCCCTCCCTTCTCTCCGGCTCAAGCTAGATGCCAGTGTCCCTGTGCTCTGTGTCATGGTCCATCCCGGCGTGGGGAACACCTCCCTGGTCTCTTCAATTGTCAGGGCTCTCGGGCGCAAGTTTGTGCAGATAGCCACCTCGCCTGTGACCTGCCAACCCCCCTTGCGCCAAAACCCCTGTGACCAACCCCCTTCTGTCTCCCTATTATCCTCCAGCTCAAGCCAGATGCCACCGGCCCTGTGCTCTGTTTCGTCGGCCCCCCGGCGGGGGACACCTCCCTGGCGTCATCAATTGCCAAGGTGCTCAGGCGTAAGTTTGTGCGGATAAGCACCTTTGGTGTCACCCCCCTTGTGCCCTCTTTCTTATCCTCCAGCTCAAGCCAGACGCCACCGGCCCTGTGCTCTGCTTCGTCGGCCCTCCTGGCGTGGGAAAAACCTCCCTGGTTTCGTCGATCGCCAAGGCTCTGGGACGCAAGTTCGTGCGCATAGCGCTGGGAGGGGTGAAGGACGAGGCGGACATCAGGGGGCACCGGAGGACGTATGTAGGGAGCATGCCGGGCCGACTTATCGAGGGAGTCAAGGTGAGACGAAGGAGTTGTCGTAAGGTGCGACTTTTGACAATAGCGCTGGGAGGGGTGAAGGATGATTCTGATATCAGGGGGCACCGAAGGACCTACGTGGGGAGCATGCCGGGAAGACGAACAGATGGCGTCAATGTGAGTGAAGGACGGAATGGGGAGTGCGAGGGGGTGGGTGGGTGGGACAAGTGTGGAGGACGGGAATGCACTCCACAAACCCCCTCTCTCTCATCGCTGCTTGGATCTGGCTCTGATGTGAGAGCACAAACGCCCTCTCATCGCTGCATGGATCTGGCTCTCATGTGAGAGCACAAACGCCCTCTCATCGCTGCTTGGATCTGGCTCTCATGTGAGAGCACAAACGCCCTCTCATCGCTGCATGGATCTGGCTCTCATGTGAGAGCACAAACGCCCTCTCATCGCTGCATGGATCTGGCTCTCATGTGAGAGCACAAACGCCCTCTCATCGCTGCTTGGATCTGGCTCTCATGTGAGAGCACAAACGCCCTCTCATCGCTGCATGGATCTGGCTCTCATGTGAGAGCACAAACGCCCTCTCATCGCTGCTTGGATCTGGCTCTCATGTGAGAGCACAAACGCCCTCTCATCGCTGCATGGATCTGGCTCTCATGTGAGAGCACAAACGCCCTCTCATCGCTGCATGGATCTGGCTCTCATGTGAGAGCACAAACGCCCTCTCATCGCTGCATGGATCTGGCTCTCATGTGAGAGCACAAACGCCCTCTCATCGCTGCATGGATCTGGCTCTCATGTGAGAGCACAAACGCCCTCTCATCGCTGCTTGGATCTGGCTCTGATGTGAGAGCACAAACGCCCTCTCATCGCTGCATGGATCTGGCTCTCATGTGAGAGCACAAACGCCCTCTCATCGCTGCATGGATCTGGCTCTCATGTGAGAGCACAAACGCCCTCTCATCGCTGCTTGGATCTGGCTCTCATGTGAGAGCACAAACGCCCTCTCATCGCTGCATGGATCTGGCTCTCATGTGAGAGCACAAACGCCCTCTCATCGCTGCTTGGATCTGGCTCTCATGTGAGAGCACAAACGCCCTCTCATCGCTGCATGGATCTGGCTCTCATGTGAGAGCACAAACGCCCTCTCATCGCTGCTTGGATCTGGCTCTCATGTGAGAGCACAAACGCCCTCTCATCGCTGCATGGATCTGGCTCTCATGTGAGAGCACAAACGCCCTCTCATCGCTGCTTGGATCTGGCTCTCATGTGAGAGCACAAACGCCCTCTCATCGCTGCATGGATCTGGCTCTCATGTGAGAGCACAAACGCCCTCTCATCGCTGCTTGGATCTGGCTCTCATGTGAGAGCACAAACGCCCTCTCATCGCTGCTTGGATCTGGCTCTCATGTGAGAGCACAAACGCCCTCTCATCGCTGCATGGATCTGGCTCTCATGTGAGAGCACAAACGCCCTCTCATCGCTGCATGGATCTGGCTCTCATGTGAGAGCACAAACGCCCTCTCATCGCTGCATGGATCTGGCTCTCATGTGAGAGCACAAACGCCCTCTCATCGCTGCTTGGATCTGGCTCTCATGTGAGAGCACAAACGCCCTCTCATCGCTGCATGGATCTGGCTCTCATGTGAGAGCACAAACGCCCTCTCATCGCTGCTTGGATCTGGCTCTCATGTGAGAGCACAAACGCCCTCTCATCGCTGCATGGATCTGGCTCTCATGTGAGAGCACAAACGCCCTCTCATCGCTGCTTGGATCTGGCTCTCATGTGAGAGCACAAACGCCCTCTCATCGCTGCATGGATCTGGCTCTCATGTGAGAGCACAAACGCCCTCTCATCGCTGCTTGGATCTGGCTCTCATGTGAGAGCACAAACGCCCTCTCATCGCTGCATGGATCTGGCTCTCATGTGAGAGCACAAACGCCCTCTCATCGCTGCTTGGATCTGGCTCTCATGTGAGAGCACAAACGCCCTCTCATCGCTGCTTGGATCTGGCTCTCATGTGAGAGCACAAACGCCCTCTCATCGCTGCATGGATCTGGCTCTCATGTGAGAGCACAAACGCCCTCTCATCGCTGCATGGATCTGGCTCTCATGTGAGAGCACAAACGCCCTCTCATCGCTGCATGGATCTGGCTCTCATGTGAGAGCACAAACGCCCTCTCATCGCTGCTTGGATCTGGCTCTCATGTGAGAGCACAAACGCCCTCTCATCGCTGCATGGATCTGGCTCTCATGTGAGAGCACAAACGCCCTCTCATCGCTGCATGGATCTGGCTCTCATGTGAGAGCACAAACGCCCTCTCATCGCTGCATGGATCTGGCTCTCATGTGAGAGCACAAACGCCCTCTCATCGCTGCTTGGATCTGGCTCTCATGTGAGAGCACAAACGCCCTCTCATCGCTGCTTGGATCTGGCTCTCATGTGAGAGCACAAACGCCCTCTCATCGCTGCTTGGATCTGGCTCTCATGTGAGAGCACAAACGCCCTCTCATCGCTGCATGGATCTGGCTCTCATGTGAGAGCACAAACGCCCTCTCATCGCTGCATGGATCTGGCTCTCATGTGAGAGCACAAACGCCCTCTCATCGCTGCTTGGATCTGGCTCTCATGTGAGAGCACAAACGCCCTCTCATCGCTGCATGGATCTGGCTCTCATGTGAGAGCACAAACGCCCTCTCATCGCTGCTTGGATCTGGCTCTCATGTGAGAGCACAAACGCCCTCTCATCGCTGCTTGGATCTGGCTCTCATGTGAGAGCACAAACGCCCTCTCATCGCTGCTTGGATCTGGCTCTCATGTGAGAGCACAAACGCCCTCTCATCGCTGCTTGGATCTGGCTCTGATGTGAGAGCACAAACGCCCTCTCATCGCTGCATGGATCTGGCTCTCATGTGAGAGCACAAACGCCCTCTCATCGCTGCATGGATCTGGCTCTCATGTGAGAGCACAAACGCCCTCTCATCGCTGCATGGATCTGGCTCTCATGTGAGAGCACAAACGCCCTCTCATCGCTGCATGGATCTGGCTCTCATGTGAGAGCACAAACGCCCTCTCATCGCTGCATGGATCTGGCTCTCATGTGAGAGCACAAACGCCCTCTCATCGCTGCATGGATCTGGCTCTCATGTGAGAGCACAAACGCCCTCTCATCGCTGCATGGATCTGGCTCTCATGTGAGAGCACAAACGCCCTCTCATCGCTGCTTGGATCTGGCTCTCATGTGAGAGCACAAACGCCCTCTCATCGCTGCATGGATCTGGCTCTCATGTGAGAGCACAAACGCCCTCTCATCGCTGCTTGGATCTGGCTCTCATGTGAGAGCACAAACGCCCTCTCATCGCTGCATGGATCTGGCTCTCATGTGAGAGCACAAACGCCCTCTCATCGCTGCTTGGATCTGGCTCTCATGTGAGAGCACAAACGCCCTCTCATCGCTGCATGGATCTGGCTCTCATGTGAGAGCACAAACGCCCTCTCATCGCTGCTTGGATCTGGCTCTCATGTGAGAGCACAAACGCCCTCTCATCGCTGCATGGATCTGGCTCTCATGTGAGAGCACAAACGCCCTCTCATCGCTGCTTGGATCTGGCTCTCATGTGAGAGCACAAACGCCCTCTCATCGCTGCTTGGATCTGGCTCTCATGTGAGAGCACAAACGCCCTCTCATCGCTGCATGGATCTGGCTCTCATGTGAGAGCACAAACGCCCTCTCATCGCTGCATGGATCTGGCTCTCATGTGAGAGCACAAACGCCCTCTCATCGCTGCATGGATCTGGCTCTCATGTGAGAGCACAAACGCCCTCTCATCGCTGCTTGGATCTGGCTCTCATGTGAGAGCACAAACGCCCTCTCATCGCTGCTTGGATCTGGCTCTCATGTGAGAGCACAAACGCCCTCTCATCGCTGCATGGATCTGGCTCTCATGTGAGAGCACAAACGCCCTCTCATCGCTGCTTGGATCTGGCTCTCATGTGAGAGCACAAACGCCCTCTCATCGCTGCTTGGATCTGGCTCTCATGTGAGAGCACAAACGCCCTCTCATCGCTGCATGGATCTGGCTCTCATGTGAGAGCACAAACGCCCTCTCATCGCTGCATGGATCTGGCTCTCATGTGAGAGCACAAACGCCCTCTCATCGCTGCATGGATCTGGCTCTCATGTGAGAGCACAAACGCCCTCTCATCGCTGCTTGGATCTGGCTCTCATGTGAGAGCACAAACGCCCTCTCATCGCTGCTTGGATCTGGCTCTCATGTGAGAGCACAAACGCCCTCTCATCGCTGCTTGGATCTGGCTCTCATGTGAGAGCACAAACGCCCTCTCATCGCTGCATGGATCTGGCTCTCATGTGAGAGCACAAACGCCCTCTCATCGCTGCATGGATCTGGCTCTCATGTGAGAGCACAAACGCCCTCTCATCGCTGCTTGGATCTGGCTCTCATGTGAGAGCACAAACGCCCTCTCATCGCTGCATGGATCTGGCTCTCATGTGAGAGCACAAACGCCCTCTCATCGCTGCTTGGATCTGGCTCTCATGTGAGAGCACAAACGCCCTCTCATCGCTGCTTGGATCTGGCTCTCATGTGAGAGCACAAACGCCCTCTCATCGCTGCTTGGATCTGGCTCTCATGTGAGAGCACAAACGCCCTCTCATCGCTGCTTGGATCTGGCTCTCATGTGAGAGCACAAACGCCCTCTCATCGCTGCATGGATCTGGCTCTCATGTGAGAGCACAAACGCCCTCTCATCGCTGCTTGGATCTGGCTCTCATGTGAGAGCACAAACGCCCTCTCATCGCTGCTTGGATCTGGCTCTCATGTGAGAGCACAAACGCCCTCTCATCGCTGCTTGGATCTGGCTCTCATGTGAGAGCAATCAGCGCCCTTTTTCCCTACCCCAACAGCAAACCCCTTCTCATCCCTGCTCCTTATCTCCTCCTTTCTTGCGCCCATCCAGCGCGTGGCAGTGAACAACCCTCTGTTGTTTCTGGACGACATTGACAAGGCAGGCGCTGACGCTAGGGGCGACCCTGCTGCTACTGCGAATGGTGCTGCTGCTCCCGGTTTGAGAAAATCCTCACACCTCTCCCTCCCTCTCCCCACTCCCCCCAAATCTGCTCGTATCTACCAGCGCGTGGCAGTGAACAACCCGGTCATGCTGCTGGACGAGATCAACAAGACGGGCGCCGACGCCAGGGGCGACTCTGCTGGTGCTGCTGCTGGTTTGTGAAACTCCTGACACACTTCTGCCCCCCCTCTCAACCTGCTTATGCCTACCAGCGCGTGGCAGTGAACAACCCGGTCATGCTGCTGGACGAGATCGACAAGACGGGCGCTGATGCCAGGGGCGACCCTGCTGCTGCAAGCAACACACTCTCGTCCCTCTCCCCCTCTCCCGTCCTCCACGTTCTCCCTACCAGCGCGTGGCAGTGAACAACCCGGTGATGCTGCTGGACGAGATCGACAAGACGGGCGCTGATGCCAGGGGCGACCCTGCTGCTGCTCTGCTGGAGGTGCTGGACCCCGAGCAGAACAAGTGCTTCCAGGACCAGTTGAGTGGCTTCCTCTCTTGCTATGAGTGGGCTAGGAAGGGGCGGAAGGGCAGCATGGTCTTGCCATGTCTGCTCTCTGCTGGAGGTGCTGGACCCCGAGCAGAACAAGTGCTTCCAGGACCAGTGAGTGGACTGATTTTGCTTTTGTAGGGAGTAATAGGGGTCGTAGCTGGTGGAAGGGGTAGAAAGGGCAGTGAGTCGGGCCACACGGAGAGTCTGCTCTGCTGGAGGTTCTGGACCCCGAGCAGAACAAGTGCTTCCAGGACCAGTTGAGTAAATTGTCTTGCTTCTTTTCGCTGAGCTGTTTTGTGTGTGCTGTGCCCCTCCGATGGAAAGGAAGACTTTTGAGTCGACTCAAAAATCGCCCCTCCGATAGAAAGGAAGACTGGGCAAAAAAAGGGGGGTTGTGGAAGAGGCCTAGTGCGTGCGTTGTCATATCCGTTCTGAAAGTTGTGATGGTCGCTTTCCCAAACCCCCTTTCCCAAAACCCTTTCCCCTCCCAACCCCCCCCTCTCTCCCGTATACCAGCTACCTGGGTGTTTCTTTCACCTCTCCCGTGTGTGTTTGAGGCAACGGCCGACCGTGCAGGTTGCTCCACGTTCTGAAAGTTGTGATGGTACCCTTCCCAACCCCTTCCGTTTCCATTCTCCCTCTTCCCCCGTTCTATACCAGTTGCCTGGGAGTGCCCTTTGACCTCTTCTGGTGGTCTTTGTGGCAACGGCAATGGCCAACCGCGCAGCACCCATCCCAACCGCTCTGCTGGACAGAATGGAGGAGATTGAGCTGCCTCCTTTTCCTTGCTCCGTCTCCCTTCTCAATTGGTCCTTCTGTCTCCCTCCCTTCTCCCTCATAACCACTCCCCCTATACACCAGTTACCTGGGAGTGCCCTTTGACCTCTCTCGGGTGGTCTTTGTAGCGACCGCCAACCGCTCAGCACCCATCCCAGCTGCTCTGCTGGACCGGATGGAGGTGATCGAGCTGCCGGGGTACACCCCCGAGGAGAAGCAGCGAATCGCAACGTGCCACCTCATCCCCCGCGTGCTGGAGCAGCATGGCATCACCAAGCGCCATCTTCATATTTCTGATGTAAGGTTTCCAGTTTGATTGAGTGTGAAGTATCGTGTGAGGAGAGAGTGAGTGAGTTGATGGTGTACCTCATCCCCCGCGTGCTGGAGCAGCACGGCACTACCAAGCGCCACCTGCACAGCACATCTCAGATGTGAGTCGAGTTTGGCGCATAGCGTGTTTAGCGAGTGAGTGAGAAAGTGGGTGAGTGAATGCCACCTTATCCCCCGCGTGCTGGAGCAGCACGGCAACACCAAGCGCCACCTGCATATATCTGACGTGAGTCTCTAATGTGTGGTGTCGGTTCCTCTTTTTTTTTTTCTGGTGCACAAGTGTGTTGTGGTTGGGCTTGGACAGAAGAATGCTGGAGCAGAATGGCATCACGAGACACGGGGGTGAGGAATCTGTGCCGGCTGCTGGCAGCCCTATTCTCGCTTGCTCCTTTTCTCCCTACTCACTCAGCCTCGTCCTGCTTCCCACTGCCCCCCCTCCCCCCAACAGCACACAGTGGAGATCCTTAAAACTCGTTACACCAGGGAGGCGGGAGTGAGGAATCTGAGCCGGCTGCTGGCAGCTCGTTCCTTCGGTCTGTCTGCGCCACCACTGCCCATCTCCCTTTCCTGCCCACTCAACCCCCACCCCCCACCCCCCACCCCGTCCACCCTCCCCACCCCCCCGATTCCCCCCAACAGCACGCACTGGAGATCCTTATAACCCGCTACACCAGAAAGGCGGGAGTGAGGAACCTGAGCCGGTGCCTTTCTCTACTCCTCTCCCCTTCTTCTCTCCAACCCCTCTCTCCCCCCAACAGCACGCAGTGGAGATCCTTATATAACCCGCTACACCAGGGAGGCGGGAGTGAGGAACCTGAGCCGGTGCCTTTCTCTACTCCTCTCCCCTGCTTCTCTCCAACCCCTCTCTCCCCCCAACAGCACGCAGTGGAGGTGCTGATCACCCGCTACACCAGGGAGGCGGGAGTGAGAAACCTGAGCCGGCTGCTTGCAGCGCGTTCGTTCCGTCTGGGCCGCTGCCCATCTCGCTTTCCAACCCCCCCACGCCCTCCTCCCTCCCCCCCCAACAGCACGCAGTGGAGATCCTTATAACCCGCTACACCAGGGAGGCGGGAGTGAGGAACCTGAGCCGTCTGCTTGCAGCGCTGGCCCGGCACGCTGCCGTGCAGGTGGGTTGAAATAGTGGGAGGGGAGCAGGGTTGAAGGTGCACTGTACGGTAGAGTTGTACCTCGGGGGATGGAGGATACAGGAGTCTGAGCCGGCTGCTAGAAGCGCAGACGCTGCTATGCAGGTGGGCTTCAGAGCACAGGGGTAAAGGCGCAGAAGAACGCACCTAAGGCTCGTGTTCTTCAGGGATCGAGGTGTGGCTTGACACTCGTGTGTTTGACACTCGTGTTTGACACTCGTGTGTTTGACACTCTTGAAAACACATGAGGCGCGAGCGAGGAATCTGAGCCGACTGTTGGCAGCACCGCAGGCCAGACATGCTGCCGTGCAGTGCAGGTGGGATGTGGTTTCTTCGCTATGATATTCCTCCCGCCGCTCGTGTAGGTGGGATGTGGTTTCTCCCCCCTGCTATCTCCCATCCGTCACTCACTCACGTCCCACAGCTGGCCCAGTTCAATTGCTGCACCGTGTGGCCCGGGAGGTGGGCCCCGCCCCTGGCACTGCTGCCTACTTTATGCCCTCTTACAACCACCCTCGCACCCACCATCTAGCCACCACCAATCCACTACCGCCCCACCCCACCACCCACCCACAGGTGGCCCAGTCCAATCGGTGCATCCGTGTAGCCCAGGAGGTGAGCCTCGCCCCTCGACGCACTGCTGGCTGCCCTGCGGCCTCTTCCCAAGACCCTCGCACTTTTTTCTACATCACCTATTCACCGACGCCCCTCATCACCCCACCACCCACCCACAGGTGGCCCAGTCCAATCGCTGCATCCGTGTGGCCAGAGAGGTGAGCCCCGCCCCTGGGACTGCCCCTGGCTCTGCTGGTGCAGCCGGATCTGCTGGTTCCTTGCATGGCAGTGGGGGAGCTCTCACCACGGCTTCATCCGACCCGCTGGCCACGGCAGCTGCAGTGGGAAACGCCAAGGTCGAGCTGGAGATGGGCGTGGAGGCAATCGGAATGGAGGTGAGTTGAGGGGGGTTTACTGCGGTTCATTGCGGTTGGGTGGGGGAGCTATATTGCTGCTGATGACCCGCTGGCCACGGCAGCAGCAGTGGGAAACGCCAAGGTGAGTTGAAATCGGAGATGGGCGTGGAGGCAATCGGAATGGAGGTGAGTTGAAGAAGTGGGGGGGGGAGGGGGGGTGGGGGGTACTGCCATGGCAAGGAAGCAATTAAGTGGCACCAACGATGGCAGACTCGGACCCAACTAAGTAACTCTGCTATCGCTGCTGCCACTTTGGAGATGCTGGAGAAAGCGGTTTCGTTTCCAACTCTGTGCCCTCTCTAGTCCTCTTCACTCCTCTGCACCACTCCCCATCCCTCTAACTCCCCCCAAGAGCAAGGAGGTGGCAGCAGTGATGTCAGACTCGGACCCAATCGAGGTCACTGAAGAGATGCTGAGCGGTTACTGCTCTTACCCACTCTGTGCACTCGCAGCCCTCTCCACTCCTCTCCACTCCTCTCCACTCCTCTCCACTCCTCTCCACTCCTCTCCCTCCCTACCTTTGATGGTTCCCATGGCAAGGAGGTGGTGACAGCAGTGATGGTAGACTCGGACCCAATCGAGGTCACTGAAGAGATGTTGGAATGAATGTTGTGCGCACACACTATGTTCCTCCTCACCCCTCTCAAATCCTCTGCACCGCTTCCCCACTTTGACCCCCCAGGGCAAGGAGGTGGCAGCAGTGATGGCGTACTTGGACCCAATTGAGGTCACTGAGGAGGTGATCAGCGGCTACTGCACTCAACCGCTCTGTGACCTCTCACCCCTCTGTACTCCTCTCCACTCATTTGCACTGCTTCCCCACCTTTGATGGTTCCCAGGGCAAGGAGGTGGCAGCAGTGATGGCAGACTCGGACCCAATCGAGGTCACTGAAGAGATGCTGGAGAAAGTGCTCGGGGTGAGTGGGGGCTTTTGATGTGTGACGTGTGTACTAGCAATGTTTGTGGCTGTGTTTATAGAGCGTACAGCTCTGGTGATGGCAGGCTCAAGAGACGATGGAGAAAAGCTGGAGAAAGTGCTGGGGGTGAGGTGGTGTGACGTTCCGTGTGCGGAATGCCACAGCTGTGCATTATCTCCTGGCCAAGTGCGCATGTGTTCTTGCATGTGCTCTTGCATGTGTTCGTCGTGTAACAATAGAGGTCACTAGAGACGCTGGAGAAAGTGCTGGGGGTGAGTGATACAGAATAATGTGATTTTTTAGTTGACCCAAAAGTTACCTCTTTGAGTCAGCTCAAAATGCCGTATGATTTGTGCTTGTAGAATCGCTCATGAATTTGTGTGCATGCAACGGTTGTGAGAGTTTTGGAAGAATTCTCTAAATTCGGTGGTGCGTTCTTGTGATGTACACTGCACCACACTGCACCTGCTCTCCTAACTGCACACCAGTGACCTTTTGTTAGGAGAGCAGGCGCAGTTCGTTGAGGCGAGAGGACGACCCTCTTTTCCCCCGTCTCCCCATCTCCTCCCCCTCGCCTTCCCTTCGGTTCCGTTCCCCACTCCCTTTTTTTCCTCTCCCCCTCTCCCTTTTCAGCCGCCCAAGTTCGACGGGAAGGAGGCAGTGGAGCGGGTGGCAGCGCCGGGAGTGGAAGTTGGGCTGGCGTGGACGGCAGTGGGTGGAGAGGTGCAGTTCGTCGAAGCGATACCGGGGGGCTCTTTCGCCCGCCCTTCACTCATCACCCCTCAACTCCCCTTCCATTCCCTTCTTCTCCCCACTCCCTTTCGTTTTCTCCTTTCTCTCCGTCTCTTCTTCTCCCCTCTCCCTTTTCAGCCTCCCAAGTTCGACGGCAAAGAGGCAGCAGAGCGGGTAGCAACGCCGGGAGTGGCAGTTGGCTTGGTGTGGACGGCAGTGGGTGGGAAGGTACAGTTCGAAAAGGCAGGAATACAAGCCTTTCTTTTTCTCCTTTCTCTCCCTCCCTTCTTCTCCCCTCTCCCTTTACAGCCGCCCCATGTTCGACGGTAAAGAGGCAGCAGTGCGCGTGGCAACGCCGAGAGTGGCGGTGGGATTGGTGTGGACGGCAGTGGGGGGGGGGCGGATGTGCAGTTAGTAGAGGCAGGAATACAAGCCTCTCTTTTATCTCCCTTCCCCCATTCCTCTCCTCTTCTCTCTCCCTTTTCAGCCACCAAAATTCGACGGCAAGGAGGCAGCAGAGCGCGTGGCAACGCCGGGAGTGGCGGTGGGGCTGGTGTGGACGGCGGTGGGAGGGGAGGTGCAGTTCGTAGAGGCCACAGACATGGTGGGGAAGGGCGAGCTGCACTTGACGGGGCAGCTGGGGGACGTTATCAAGGAATCTGCCCAGATCGCACTCACCTGGGTGAGTCATGAGGGAATGTGACGTAAGTGAGGGAACCTGACTTGACATATACCCAAGTGAGGGCAGTTGACTGTAAGAGATGGGAGACGTGACTAAGGAATTTGTTCAGACAGCGTTGAGTGAAGCAGGAGTAGGGTGCACTGTGTGCAGCAGGAGTAGGGTGCGCTGTGCAGCAGGAGTAGGGGGGTGCGCAGGAGTGGGTGCGCTGTGCAGCAGGAGTAGGGTGCGCTGTGCAGCAGGAGTAGGGTGCGCTGTGCAGCAGGAGTAGGGTGCGCTGTGCAGCAGGAGTAGGGTGCGCTGTGCAGCAGGAGTAGGGTGCGCTGTGCAGCAGGAGTAGGGTGCGCTGTGCAGCAGGAGTAGGGGGTGCCGCTGTGCAGCAGGAGTAGGGTGCGCTGTGCAGCAGGAGTAGGGTGCGCTGTGCAGCAGGAGTAGGGTGCGCTGTGCAGCAGGAGTAGGGTGCGCTGTGCAGCAGGAGTAGGGTGCGCTGTGCAGCAGGAGTAGGGTGCGCTGTGCAGCAGGAGTAGGGTGCGCTGTGCAGCAGGAGTAGGGTGCACTGTGCAGCAGGAGTAGGGTGCGCTGTGCAGCAGGAGTAGGGTGCGCTGTGCAGCAGGAGTAGGGTGCGCTGTGCAGCAGGAGTAGGGTGCGCTGTGCAGCAGGAGTAGGGTGCGCTGTGCAGCAGGAGTAGGGTGCACTGTGCAGCAGGAGTAGGGTGCACTGTGCACATGCCTGGGTGTCATGCGATGCGTTTGGGGGTGGCGGCTGGATTAGGGTCGCATCTTCCATCTTGCCTCTTCCATCCTCACCTCTTCCAACCTCACTTCACCCCTCACCCTACTCAGGCCCGCACCAGGGCAGTGGAACTCTTCCCACTACCCGCCACTGCTGCTACCTCCTCCTCCGCCTCCTCCTCCGCCTCCGCCTCCTCCTCCTCCGCCTCCTCCTCCCCTCCTGCGTCCTCTCTTCCGCCCTTCACCCCTGCAGACCATCCATTCAATGACCACCTCCCTCCTCTCGGTACCTGCTGACTCAATACCTGCTGCTGACCACCTTCCTCCTCTCGGCCCCTATGGTGCTGTCTCCTCTCAAAGTTTCCCATCCTTTCCCTCCTTCCCTTCACCTCCTCTCAGGTCCGCGCCAGGGCAGCAGAGCTCTTCCCACCACCAGCCACCGCCGCTACCTCCTCCTCTGCCGCCTCCTCCTCCCCTCTCTCTTCCTCTCTCCCGCCCTTCCCCCCGTCAGACCACCCCTTCGACGACACCATACCCGCTGCTGACCACCTCCCCCCTCTTGGCCCCTACGGTGCTGTCTCCTCCTCCCCCGCCCCTCGTCCTGCCATCGTTCCCACCATTATGCCTTCCTCCTTCGCTCCGCCTCCCGTTTTTGCTGCCAATTCTACTAGTGCTACTGCTGCCGGTCCTACTGCTGCTGGTGGTGTGGCTGCTAGTCCTGCTGCTACCGCCACCTCCGCTGCTGCTTCTCCTCTTGCGTTCCCATCATTTGCTGGTGCGACACAGACAGACATCACAGTGAGGAGGAGCAGCACTGGGCCCAAGAGATCGGCCAAGAGCCATGGGGCCATCATGGGCCCCGGTATCGCGTCTGCTAGCACCGGCATCCCCAGCATCACTACCAGCAGCGGTGGCAACAGCAACACCGCCAGAACCGTGCCTCTCCCTCGCAATCTCATGGAGGGCCGAGACATCCACATCCACTTCCCTGCAGGTAAACAGTTATATATGCGTTTATATATATATATATACATATACACACACATTGGTATTTAAATAGTTTACAGAACAGTGCCTCTTCCTTGTAATCTCATGGAAGAGCGGGACGTCCCCATCCACTTCCCTGCAGGTAATAAGCTGTATATGTATGTCTCTAATCTACAGTTTACAGAACCGTGCTTCTTCCTCACAATCTGATGGAGGCCCGAGATATCCACATCCACTTCCCTGCACGTAGCAAATGTACACTCACTTGCAGTGCATTGTACATGAAGTATATCTTGATTATACACCTAGCTTATTTGAATTAATGGCATCGAAACCCGATGGCAGGGCAGGAAGGAGGCTTACATCCACTTATACAACCATCATCTTTTTTTGAGTCGACTCGAAAGCATCCACTTATACAACCATTTTTTTTTTTTTAGTCGACTCACAAGCATCCACTTATACAACCCATCATCTTTCCCCTTCCCCCTCCAGGCGCTGTCCCTAAAGATGTAACAGTGATCTCGTTATGAGTTGACTCGAATCGAAATTACTACCACACGAAGGGCAGGAAGGAAGCTTACATTCACTCACACAACCATCAACTTCTCCTCTTTCCCCTTCAGCCTCTAGGTGCTGTCCCTAAACATGGCCCTTTGGCCGGCGTTACGCTGGTAACCACCCTCATGTCGCTTCTCGAGTCGTCCTCTCCAACTGCTCTGTGCGATAGTTTGAACACTTGCGCTCATCTATGAGTGCGTTCACCATACCTCTCCCCTCCAGGCACTGTGCCCAATGATGACCCTTCGGCCAGTGTTACCCTGGTAACCACCCTCGAGTCGTCCTCTCCAACTGCTCTGTGCAAGAGGTTGAACACTTGCGCATATCAACGTGTGCGTTCACCATTCCTCTCTCCTCCAGGAGCCGAATGCCAAAGGATGGCCGTCCGCTAGTGTTACGACAGTAACCGCGCTTGTGTCTCTCCTCTCCAACCAATTTCTAAGTCATGTTGGAAAGGAAACCTCTTTAATCCCTCCATTCCACATATGCTCCCTCCCCCTCTCCTCTCCAGGCGCTGTGCCAAAGGACGGGCCTTCAGCCGGCGCTACGCTGGTAACCGAACTCGTGTCTTTCCTCTCCCACCGAGGCTGAGACATTCCTGTAAACCCCAGACCCTTTAACTTAAACCAGACCCCAGACCCTTTCACAACGCCATCCCTCCCGCCCTCCTTTTTATTCAGGCGCTTTGCCGAAGGACGGCCCTTCTGCCGGCGCTACGCTGGTAACTGCACTCGTGTCCTTCCTCTCCAACCAGTTTCTAAGTCATGCTGGAAAGGAAACCTCTTTAATCCCTCCTCAACGTATGCTCCCTCCCCCTCTCGCCTCCAGGCGCTGTACCTAAGGACGGCCCTTCAGCCGGTGTTACGCTGGTAACCGCACTTGTGTCTCTCCTCTCCAACCGCTGTGTGCGGTCCGACACGGCTATGACGGGCGAGCTCACCCTCAGGGGCTTGGTGCTGCCTGTGGGAGGGGTGAAGGAGAAGGTGAGAGCTACCCTAATCACTTCTCCCCTCCCATTCTGACCAATATTTACTGTCCCTTGTGTTTGCGCCGCCTCTCTCCACTCCAACCACTGTCTGCGGTCCGACACCGCTATGACGGGCGAGCTCACCCTCAGGGGGCTGGTGCTGCCCGTGGGAGGGGTGAAGGAGAAGGTGAGAGCTACCCTAATCACTTTCCCCCATTCCGACCAATATGTGCTGTCCCTTGTGTTGAGCTTCCTCTCTCCTCTCCAACCGCTGTGTGCGAGCGCGCATGGATATGACCAGGGAGCTCATTCTCGGGGCTGGTGCTGCCTGTTGGGGGGGTGAAGGAGAAGGTGAGTGGTGCAGTGTTGCAGCAGCCACTGCCCATTGTTCCTTGTGTTGTGAAACCAGACTCGCTCCTGTCCAACCGCTGTGTGCGATCCAACAGCGCTATGACTGGCGAGCTCACTCTCAGAAGCTTGGTGCTGCCTATAGGAGGGATGAAGGAGACGGTGAGTGGTGCATCTTTAAAGCTACTCTATTCTGCACCTGCCTTGGACTGCCGCCTCTTCTTTCCGCTCCGACCCCTGTGTGTGGTCTCACCTCTCCAACCACTGCTCTGGCTGGCGAGCTCCCTCTCAGGGGCGTGCTGGTGAGGTGAGAGTGCTACATCCCAGCTGCAGCAGTTGCCTTGCAGCGGGTGAGGGCTGAGACACAACCTGCTGCCTGGAAACAAGTACTTGGGATAATGACCCTCAGGGGCCTGCTGCCTTTGAGAAAATGCTGATGTGCCCAGCAATCAGCAGGTGTGCTGGTGTGCTGATGTGCTGGAGTGCTGATGTGCCCAGCAATCAGCAGGTGATATGTCTTCCCTTACTTAGACTCCTCAAAAGAGTTTTGAGACGTCTCAAGTCCCTCAGGGGCTTGCTGCCGTTGGGAGAGTGCTGATGTGCCCGACGACTAGAAGGTGATGTGTCTTCTACTCCTGCAAGGCCCTTTCTCTCTTTCACCCTCAACCAAGCCCCTCCCCCTCCCCCCCTGCCACACTCCCTCCACACTCTCTCCACCACACTCCCTCCACCACACTCCCTCCGCCACACTCCCTCCACTACCTCCCTTCCTCCCCCTTTCCTCTCAGATTCTCGCTGCCCATCGCTGCGGTATCAGGCGGGTCATTCTGCCCGAGAAAAACATCAAGGATCTCCAGGAGGTGCCAGCTGCTGTGCTGGCATGTATGGAGGTAGGCTGACGTGGCATGCGAGGAGGTATGATGACGTCATGCATGGATGGAGGTATGATGACGGCATGCATGGTTGGAGGTATGATGATGCCATGCATGTAGGATGGTAGCATTATGTATGGAGGTATACACGTGGAGGTATGATGATGTGACATGAGTGAAGTGGGCTGATGTGGCATCCATGGATAATGGGATAATGGGATAGGCAACACGGGTGGGGTGCCATCTCTTGCAAACAAACGTCATGGCATAACGCCATTACGTGGATCGCTTACAATAAGGAGGGACTGGAGGCAACTAGTGGCGCCTTACAATCAAGGGAGCCCTTATTTGTATTTTAGCTTGTAACTCCCTTTTTTTTCCCTTCGTTTCATTGTGCTTATGTTTCTGCCCATCAGATCCTTCCAACTAAGAGGGTGGAGGAGGTTCTTCAAGGGGCATTTGAAGGACTGTGAATCGACTCAAAAGTCCTAAATCGTACTCGGGTGTCGTTTTTATGTGCTCCCCCCATCAGATACACCGGAGCAAAAGTTTGGAGGAGGCTCTTCAAGAGACATTTGAGGGCTTTTTGAGTCGACTTAAAAGTGATCACTTCCCACTGGCTCAGTGACTTTTGATGTGCCCCCCCCCTTCAGATCCTTCCAACCAAGCGTGTGGAGGAGGTCCTCCAAGAGGCGTTTGAGGGCGGAAGTCCCATCGGCCCTCGTAGCCGTATTTAAAAAGGGCGGGTCAGACTCAATCGGGCCTCTTCATTAATTAGCATGCTCCATCTTTCTGGAGCGTAAAAAGCAAGCGCGTGATTGGTTGCATTTGCTGTTCATACCGTACAACCTCGATAATTCCTTAACAATGACCGTTCGTTCACTTTCATGTTGGTGACTTTCTCCACTTGCCATAACCATATTCGTGCCCCAACCTGGAAACATTTATTGTTGTCTATCTACTCTTCTCCTTTCAATGCAAAACTTTTCACTATTTGACGTTGTAGGATCCAACAACGTCTAGCATTGTCGAATCGCTCAATACGATATTCAAAAGAAGGAAACAGAGAGGTCACAGGAAGACTCTCAATCGTATGGTGCCTTTGCGCATACAGAAGTGAGGTTCAGAACGGTTGAAGTTGGTGCGGTGTGTTCTTGTGTGTTGTCGTTAGATTATTGCGTCGTACAGTGCGGTTAAGGGTCGAACAACCAGCACTGCTCTAAATCTCTCCGCAGCAGCTGGCGTCTGATGCGGAGGAAACGATAATCGATTTCATGACGATTGGAGACCTCCCGGCGCCAGCAGAAACAGCTAGCATGTCTGATGCTATGTAGGGGGTTTTATTAGAATTCACAGAAACTTCATGTAATGGAATCAAGTTTATTTCGTCATTCGCGAAGCACGGCGTGTCCTAGGTCATCTGAGGCGTTGGATTCCAAAAGCCATGTTTAGCGCTTTGGTCGTCTGAAAAGCAGAGTCGCAACTTAAAGCCATGTTTAGCACGGCAGCGCGGCTGAAAGAGCGACAGGGGAGGAGCGGAACGTCGCGTCTCGAGTACCTTCAGGTAGGTACCCTTCACAGAGCGCTAGGAATTTGTGATTACGGTGGTTGGAGCCTCTTTTTTTTTTTTTTTTTTTTTTTTTTTTTTGCCTTTCCATTAAACTCCGCTCTCTCCCTCCTCTTGCCTCGTCTCGTGCGACCAGGCGCTGGTTACTGAGTTTCAGACAACTCAAGACGAAGGTGAGCCACGGTCGGAGCTCCAAATCTCTGGTTCAAACCCTCTCGCTCCCTTCCCCCTTCCCCTCCGCCGTCCCTAGAATTCCCTGTGCGCTTCCCCCTTTTCCCCCCGTCCCCAGTTGACTTTTGAGTCGACTCAAAAGTCTCCGCCGTCCCTAGAATTCCCTCTGCGTTTCACCTTTTACCCCGTCCCCAGTTTTTGAGGCGCCTCAGAAATCGTTTCTCCCTTTTACCCCTTCCCCAGTTCCTGGTTCGCAAAAACCGATTTTTGTACCATTTTCCCCTTCCCTCCTCCCCCTGCCGCTTCCACACCCCACTCTCGCTCCCCCCTACCCTGCCAAACCCAAACACACATCGCTTACCTCCCTCACTGCTGTCAGAGGCTAAAGAACAGATTGTCGCCAACCTAGCAAATTTCGCCTATGACCCGATCAACTATGACTACATGCGTAAGGTGATTGTCGCTCTTTTGTGACTGTTTTGAGAGCGCCAGCTGGATGTGTTGGAGCTGTTTTTGAGTTTGTTTGACTGAGGACTTCTACCTATTTCGCCCACTCCTCCCCCCATCCTCTCGTCCCTCCTCGCCCATTCTCTTCCCTTATCTGCATCTTTTGAATGGCATTCTACGCCATTTAAATGCCATTTAAAAGCCATCTCTTCCCTCCCCCCATTCTTGTCCCTTCCTCTCGTCTTTCTAAGCGCAGCTGAATGTGTTGGAGCTCTTTTTGGACACCTTTGATCTCCCCCCCTTATTTCCTCCCTCAGTTGTGTCTCCCCCTCCGTTCTGTACGCCATTCAACAGTGTCGTTCGCAGCCCAGCTGAACGTGTTAAAGTCATTTTTTACTGAGAATGTCTATTATCTCTCGCCCCACCGGTCCACTCCCCCCCTCCCTTCCGCCTCCCCCTTCTGTATGACAACCCCCCCCCCTCCCCCGGTCTCCCCCTTGTATGTCCCATCTCCCCTTCTCCTCTAACTCCAGCTGAACGTCTTGCAGCTCTTTCTTGACTGCTTGACCGAGGAGTGCTAATCTTTCTGCTTCTGCCGCCTCTTGACTGCGGACTGCCACCGTTCTCCATCCTGTCCTCCCTTGTCTAGTTTTGAGGCGCCTCAAAACTCCATCCTTTCCTCCCTTGTCTAGTTTTGAGGCGCCTCAGAACTCCATCCTTTCCTCCCTTGTCTAGTTTTGAGGCGCCTCAAAATTCCATCCTTTCCTCCCTTGTCTAGTTTTGAGGCGCCTCAAAATTCCATCCTTTCCTCCCTTGTCTAGTTTTGAGGCGCCTCAAAACTCCATCCTTTCCTCCCTTGTCTTTCGACGCGCAGCTGAATGTATTGAAGCTCTTTCTTGACTGCTTGCCTGGGGAGTGCTACTCTTTCTGCAGCTGCCGCCTCTCCCGTGCGTCTCTCCGCCTCTCCCCCGTATTGCAGCTCTTCCTTGGCTGTTTAACCCAAGACCTTTATGTCCCATCTCCCTCTTCCTCCCCCCATCTGCATCTTCCATATCCCCACGTGTCACTCGAAGCGCAGCAGAGCGTATTTGAGCTCTTTCTTGACTGTTTGACCGAGGTGAAGGCCTTTATTTCTCACCCCCCTCTTCCTCTCTCACGTGTCCCCCCTTCTGTATTTCATCCTCCCTTATCCGCCTGCCCCCTCTCCCCCCTGTTCCACCTTCCTTTTTCTGTTCCTCCCTTGTCGTTCTAAGCGCAGCTGAATGTGTTTGAGCTATTTCTTGACTGCTTGACCGAGGAGAACGCAAAGCTCATTGATTTTGGTATGGGGGGACTCTGCAACGCCGCTGCAGGTGCATGGGGGGCAGAGAGAGGAGGAGAGGGGAGTGGGGAAGGAAGTTGGGCTGTTGTGTTGTATGAATGGGAGGGCTGACCATGGGAGACTGTTTGACCTAGGAGGACTCAAAGTTTGTGGAATTTGGTACGGGGGTGGTTGAATGTGTTGTATGCAACGCCGCTGCAGGTGAATGAAAAGTAGGGGGGAGGGGGGAAACAGGCGAGATTGCTTGACTGAAGAGAAAGCGAAGCTTGTAGATTTTGGCATGGGGGGGCTGTGCAATGCCGCTGCCGGTGAATGAAAAGTAGGGGGGAGGGTGGAGGGATGGGGGGAGAGCGTGGGGGACGGGGGGGGTGGAGTGGAGGAGAGGGGGGGTTGGTAGGGAGTGGGGAGAGCAAGTGCGGGAGAAATACGGGTGAGAAAGGGAGGCTGTTTGACTGAAAAGAATGCCTAAACTATTGCTAAACTTATGTACTATCTTTGACAAACTCCTGTGCACAATCCCAACCTTTCCTCAGATCCAGTCAATGCAGCAGGTATCGCCACTGCTGACAACATCCCCCTTATAGTCGATTGCTTATCAAGTCCGGTTGAAAGCACTGTACGTTCAATGCAATGACCATGTGTGTGTCAAATGCTTTGGATCAACATCCGAATGGTTTGTTCCAACCTTTTTTGCCGTTTTGAATGCTTGAGTTCTATGTCCTTCTTTGTCTCGTTGGTTTCCGCTCGTGTCACATACAGCAGTTTGACAAATGGCTAGTCGAGATAGTCTTAGCATCATACTGTGTATACTTCATTTCAATTCGCTCTATTGTCACATCAAGCAGTTTGACAAATGGCTAGTCTAGAAAGTCTTTGCATCATATCATGCTTCATTTCAATTCGCTCTATTGTGCTGACCATTCTTCCCTCCTTACCCCTCTAGATCATGTCTGCCCTTGCTTGCCTGTATTACATCTGCATCCCTAGCACCGAAACTCACTTCAATTCGCTCTATTGTGCTGCCCATTCTTCCCTCCTTACCCCTCCAGATCCTGTCGGCCCTTGCTTGCTTGTATTACATCTGTACCCCTCGCACCCGATCGTGTAAAACTTCTACACCCCTTTGCACCCATTCGTATCTCCATTATGATTTCTTACTCGCTTAGATGCAACCAAGAGCGAGAAAACCCCATTACATCTGCTTCACCTTTCGCACTCGATCATGCGTGCCACATCATCCACAAACCAAGACAGAATATTGTCCTTTCTATTGGTCATTCATTAACATAGATGCCTTTCTATTTTCGATCATAAGCCAACGTTGTAGTGCATACCGCTTTCTGTTTTGCTGAGAGTCATGTGCCGCCACTTCTCCCACATTCGCTATTCTCCTTCCCCTTCCCTCCGTTTTGTTCTCCCCGGCGCAATGTGCCTACAGTAATTCTTACCCCCAACCTGCTTGAAAGCATTAACTGCTTTGCTGCTGACTCCTGCCCCACTCCTTGCCTTCGCAATCTCGCCCTTTGCTTTATGAGACAACACGTAGGGCCTGCCCCCGCTCCTGAATCTAATGCATCTCTAGGCCGGAATTAATCATACTAGCCTGCCTGGCTCTTCGTTTTCTTGGAAGATGGAGAATATTAGTCTTAACATTATGGCTTATGGCACTTGTTGCTTATTGCTTATCTTAGATTCACAAATGGCAGTTACGTGATACGTTCCGAGTGTGCTGGAGCGCGTATAGCAAGGATTTCTCCAGAGACCAGCAATTGGTCGTGCTTTTTCCTCGGACGAGGGGAAGTCTGGCGGCATAGACTGGTCAGCTCCTCTCCAAAGAACTATTGAAGGGAATTGCTTGGTGACTCCGCCCCCTTCTTCCTCTTCCCATCCCATCCCTCTCTGTTGACTAGTACTTGCTTTTCAGTGTGTTGACTGAAACTGCCGCTAGTGTGTTTTGAACAAGACACACACACATAAGAAGGGATTCGTGCTTGTCGAGATGAGATGTAGGAGCATTCAGCGTGAGGAGGAAGAATACCTCGAACGAGACGTGACGTGAGCCATTGCGCGTTTACAAACGAAGGTTTTCTCCGTCGCGTCACATCGTTCTTGGTTCCTCGGAAAAGCACTAGCACAATCATCAGTGAGAGTGACCAAATTTAGAGACTTCCTTAGTAGGCCAAATTATTCCCCTGAAGTTCGTCCGCAGTTGCCGCGCGTTTACAGCAGAGGCCTCGTACATTACTACCACCCAAGAGATTTTTTTCCAGAATGGGTTCAGAAGCGAACGCCTCTCCAGTCTCAACTCCCGCATGCTGTCCCATCCAAAGCGACATATCTATCAGATCAAGACTTTCGGCAAAGCAGCACGACGACTGTCAGTGCGTGAGTTGCTCTTGGCAGAAATCGGCAAGGTCGCGTGACGGACTCCGCATCGCTCTGCTGTCGCTCTTCATCGTCGTGCTGCTGATCCTGGTCCTATGCTGGCATCAATCGACACCATCGGCCTTTAAAGCCGAGGATCTGCGTGGGAAACCGGAAGATGCAAGGGATGCCGTTCTCTATGGGTTTCATATGCCGAGCCCATCAAGCACAGAAAAAAACGTTGAGCGGAGAAACCCTTTCAACGCCTTCAGGGTTCAGCTCGACGAATCCCTTGCTGGTTTCCCGGCTTCTGGTGAACATACGAGGGCATTCATTGGGTCGATTGAAAACGTTGCTGCTGGGAAATTCTTATCGGGCCAACAAATATTTCAGCATCGACTAAGCCGTGGTAGTTCCAGTCATCGGACAGAAGCATACACCAGAGTAACCAAGTTAGTGGGAGTTCGCCTCCCCGCAGTAGTGGTGCGGAACAGCTTTGCTGGGTTCTGAGTGGATGGCCTAGTCTTCATGAGATTCTGGAGACCGGTTACCAAAAGTTTGTCTTCGCATCGACCCCACGAGGCGGTTGATCCAGCCCAACGACCATTGCCACGTTTCGCAAGCCCAAGCGAAGCCCGTTACAGCGCCTCATCTCCTTCGTCAATCTGCTCTCATGGGCTCTCCAACCTCGAGGGGATACAACTGCAAATTGTAGGACTGACTGCGAATTCTCAACCCACCAGTGATCAAGTTATCTCAACGTTCTCAACCAAGACATTCTCGAGACGTTCTCGATGTCTTCTCAGCAGGCATCGAGGCGTCTCGCCTCGACATGTGCGCGCGTAATATCTAGGATGAATGTGTCCTCGAGGTTATCTGTACCGTTGGATTGGACTGTGGGATTCGTGTCTGATAGAAATGTCCCTTCAACGCTTGAGAGCTCAGGAACGGAGGAAACGCAAGCATGCACACGAGAGCAAGCACAGAAAGCTAGGAATGGAGAAATGCATCATACCAATCAGCCCGAGTGCGTGCAATGCTGATTTTTTCGTCGGTAACACCATCTCGGCTCTTTTGCGGATAGCTCCCGACTTCCATTTTTTCGCTTCATTCCATGGCGAAGCGGGCGAGGTCACAAGAACGCCGATCGTTCTTGCCTCATCATGTATGGGAAACCCTTTGCACGCAATATTTTCCTCCGTCAGACGTGATCGCTTTTTCTCTCGTGTGCAAGGATTTCAAGGAGATCGCCTACAATCAGAGTGTTTGGCGAGAAAAATGCTGAAGCACTTTCCCTCACTGAAGTCAGTCGAGCTCAAGAGCGATGTCGACTACTGACGGCTTTTCATGGCATGCTGTGCTAGATTCAGTGTGTGCAGTATGCTTGATTCCTTCCTCCGTGTGGAAACG